ACTCATCTATCTCCCTAGCCCAGGATTTTGATTAGCTCACACCAATAACCCTTTTGCTTCCATTTTTTCCCTTTTTAAGAGACTGTCAGTTACAAATATCCTGTGTCTATCCCACTCAACTGTGCAGAGCAAGGACTGAGATGAGGCTTTTGTATTTGATACTCCAGGTGATATGTTAAAGTGGCGCAAATACATTTTCCGCATGAGAAGGGTAGTATTCTTTAGTGGCCAGAATCCAGAAAAGTAGACAGAATACACTCACAAGGATGTACACTGTCTGATACCCAAACTTAAGACTGTTACATGACAAAAGGACTATAGATGTGTGTTATAGCAACTACAGCCAGGCATAAATTATGCTTACCTGTCATTTCAGACTTCAGGAGGCTGAGACAGAAGGATTACAAGTTTGAACCAGCTTGGGATATTTAGAGAAACCCTATCTCAAATATATTTTAAAGAGGGTTAGAGATGAAGATTAAGTATGAAGGCCCTCAATTCAATTCCCATGCCACATAATAAAAAATTACAAAATAAAAGGGGCTAAGGATATAGCATAGTGCAAACAATTACTAACAAAAGTACGACTTTTGTATTTTATATGCATACAGTACAGGATTTCACTACACAGCTTGGACTCGTGTGATCTTCATGTTTTCACACTCCCCAGTGCTGGGATTACTGGCATGCGTGACACCACCAGGTCTCAGTGCCCAGATTCCACACACTCATGGGTGCTGGGTAGTGGACTCTGGTTCCTGTGCTTGCCTAAGCTATCTCATTGCCCCAGCATTAAGACTTTTCAGTTATAAGATGTAGGGCCAGCGAGATCGTTCAGCTTACTAAGCACCTGGCAGGATCTGGGTCTGATCCCCAGTCCCACCAAGCTCACAGCTGAGTCTGGGCATGGTGGCACACACCTGTAATCCCAGCACTGCGGAGGCTGAAAACAGAAAGATCACTACAAGTTCAAGCTGTGTAGTGAGACCCTGTACCAAATACATAAGTGAAAAAGTAAAAATAAAGTTATATATTTTGCAGGACTGTTTCACATTTTCAAAACCAAAATAAATTTCTAATTGGTATATAAATGGTGAACAAATTTACAACCAAGACCCAAATTTGAAACCAGGTGTGGTGGTAATCCCAGCATCCAAGAGGCTGAGGCAGGAGGATCACTCTTGAGTTCAGAGGCTGTACTATGTAGGAAGACCCTGTCTCAAAAACCCAAATCCTAAAATTTTTCAAAATATCACTCTGGCTCAAAAAGAACATAAAGGGGCCAGGGAGATAGCTCAATAGAGTAAATGCTTCCCTGGCCAGCGCTGGGGTCTGAGTTCAATCCCCAGTTCTGAAAAACCAACAAACAAAAAAAACCAGCTGTGGTTACAAATACCCATAATGCCGGTGCTTGGAAGGCTGAAGCAGGAAGATTGCTGTAAGTTCAAGGCCGGCTTGGGTTAAGTTCAAGCCTAGCCAGAACTAAAGCAAGCCCATCTCAAAGTAAGTGAACCAAATGAAAATATTCAGGCTTAAAGTTACATTCAACAGCTTAAGTGCCTGCCTGGCAAGCACCAAGGTCCTGAGTTCAATCCCCACCACTGCAGTAAAACAAAACACTCTCTCCCCCTTTCAAGTGGGCACAACAGCATACATCTGTCATCCTAACACTGGGGGGGTGGGGGGAGATGGCCGAGGCAGAAGAATCACTGACTTCAAGGCCAGCCTAGGCTACAAAGTGAGTTGAAGAGTAGCCTGAAGTACACAGTAAGACCCTGTCTCAAAGAGAAAAGTAAAATTAAATTAAATTCAGTAGCCTAGTGTGGTAGTGCAAATCTATAATCCCAGCACTTGGGAAGCTAAACTCACCGAGTTTGAAGCCAGCATAAACTAATAGCCACAGCTTATCTCCCAAACAAAACCAAACCACAACAAAACCAAGAAAATGCATTAAGCAAGCAAGCAGGGTATGGAGGTACACTCCTGTAACCCCTGCAGTTGGGAGGCTGAGACAGGAGGATCACCCTAAATTCAAGGCCAGCCTGGAATACACAGTGAGACCCTGTCACAAAAGAAAAGAACAGGGGCTGGGGAGATAGCTCAGTAGAATAAGTGCTTGCCTGGCAAGTGCAAGGGCCTCAGTTCAATCCCTGGTTCTGGGGAAGAAAAAAAAAAAAAGGATTTGCATCATACAAAATTTAGGCAGAAGACAAAGCCTTATGGAACATAAGAATGCTCAGATTTCCAAGCTCAACTGTTTGAACTATCTTAACTCTTACTCATTTATTATTAAATAAGCTTATTAAACAAGGCATTTTCTAATGCCTGTATCAATTCTACACGGGACCCAAGAAAAAACGAGGAATGTAACATAACATATTCCAGATCCTTACAAAGCCCATGAAAAACGTTAAATGCTTAAACATAGTAGCAGTATTAAAACTGTTCAGGATGATCATGGCACTAAAGGGCATCATTACAATGGGTTATAGTGAAAAAGTTTCCTACAGTTTTACAGAACAACTAAGTCTCCAAACCTGCATCCTTGTAACTACTTTTTTCTCTGCTAAAGATGACTAAGTTAAAGAAAAAGTTTTAACTTCGAGTTTTCAACCCTGTTTCCCTCTTTAATATTTTGCACCGAATACATTAATGAAAATTTGAAACAAAAAAGCACTTTAGTCAAACTCCCCTTCCTCCTCCAGCTTTATTGGAATAGTTTAAAATTACATTTTCTATTTTCTACGACTCAGTTGCTTTTTCCATCTCACTTTTAAAAACTGATTACAGCAAATGAAACAGTTGCCTAAGTGATATAGTATACAAAAATAACATCTTGATTTCTGTGAAAATGCATTTCTCTGCAATTCCTGAATAGCTCCAAATTATGCTAACTCTGAGCATCAATGTTTACTCTGGGTTTTAGATTTAGTCTTTGAAAAACTTTCTAAATCTTTGCCATCCCCATCTGTATGTCCACCACCAATGCTGTGATGAAGGTGTTTCTATCTCCTCTATTTTTTTTAATCAATGTCTTCTTTAGAAGCAGTTATAAATTCTTTTACTGCAGTGTTTCTTTCAGATTGGGTTTCCTCCCTATGTTTCTGTAGTTGCTTCTTTACATCAGATGCTGTGAGTTCTGAGAATTTTTTTATTTCAGAAAAGGATTGCGCTCTGAGTTCCTCTATAACTTTCTGTTGCTTATTTACTATCGACGCTATTAATTCATACATTTGAGCCGAGCTAGTGTCCTCTGCACTTGTTCTGGGTGGGCATTGGGTTTCCTCCTTATGTTTCTGCATTTGATTCTTTACTGCAGATGTTATTAATTCAGGGATTTCTTTATTTCCAATCTGAGTTCCTCTATACTTTTCTGCAGCTGTTTATTTCAGAAGCCGTTGATTCATTGCTTTCAGCTGTGAGATTCCCAATTTGTTCTGTGTTAGTGTCCTCTGCACTTGTTACGGGTGGGCTTGGGTTCTGAGATTGCATTTTGTTCCTTCTTGTCATTTTGTGTAGCACTGTCTTCTGACCTTTGTTGTAGATCTTTGTTGCAGTTATAACCTTAGCATGTACTGAAGTTCA